CACCGAGAGATCGCGGCCTACATCAGGTATACCAACAATGTATGCAAGTTTTTTTTCGTATTTTCGCCGACTTTTGCATACATAGATGTCACCAGCAGTTGCGACCATCGTTGCTGTTCGCCATACTTGTGTGTTCCGGTTGAGTGCTGGCACAGGTTGAAGTTCTCGTACAACGGTCCTACCTGCTGCTGTTAGATGCTGTGGGTGGTTTCTTACGTTTTTGACCCTCATGTTGTAAATCTCTCTCGGGGAGTTGCCGACCGTAGATGTACTCTAATATGTAATCCAAAACAGCTGTGACAAAGAGAGTCGGCTACAAAGTGCCAACATTTTTTTTCTCTTTTTTTGTATGGCGTATGAGTATGAACTGTGGTCTATGATGTGATTTTTTTCGCGTGGTTCGTCAGGGAGCACGTGCTCAAGCTAGAGGCGGTGGCCAGGAAAGACTACTACGGAGACGACCCGGACGCGTCTCCGTACTGCACCGCACAGAAGTAGAACCGCGTTCCCTTTCGGGTTGGTTGCGAAGGAGCAAAGGGGGGGCTTAGGCACTGGTCCCCTTGTCCCGCCGATTTGTGGGGGGAAGTTTCGACTTCTACGCTGCCAGCCGGTTTCTGGAGACGACGGAGCCAGAGGCTGTGCACCCACGATATGCGATATGCGCCGCGTTTGTTTTTGTGATTTTGCTGTGTTTTCTAGTTGCTATTTGCACGCTTGTGGACATGTATACTGACAGCGTCTCATGTACGTAGCTTTCATAGGCCTCGCATGAGGGATTGTTGTCATTGTTGTAATAGAAATTCCAATAGGTCTCTGGTACTGACGATCGTATAGAGCTAGTTGGGTGCAAGTATATAGACCATGTACAGATTTCCACTTGCCAACGGGTGGAACATGATGACGTCCATCGCAGGGAGAGTAGGACATTTTCCCGAAGGTGCGGACCTTCTCGTGCACTTGGTGTGCAGGTGGCCACAACCGCGAATTTGGCATGTACCCACTAAGTACGCGCGTACCACCTATATACTTGCCTCGTCTAGGCATCTACTTGTTCGCAAACGTGATTTCGTTTTCTCTTGTACTAAGTAATATAATGAGCAAATTGTAAGGAAATGTTGCCTCGTATCTCATAGAATTTAGATTATTTGGTATTTTTTCTGTCGGTTGGGATGAGACGCTGTCAGTGTACCGGACACCAAATCACACTGGTACGGTAGAATGTAGAAGGCAGCACTGTGATCCATCGTGTCCCCCTTTTTTCGTTTGTCGCTTGTCGCGTTTCACTGTAATGCTTATAGTGGGTAACATTGGGTGGGAACGTTTGATGATGTTGGGCGTTTTTCTTGTCTGCATCGCCGCCCCTATACCCTTGACGCCGGCTACAACAAGCTTCCCTGCTGGTGTCGTCAGTATCGAGTGACGGTTCGACAGCGGTGCACAGCAATGGCCCGTCAACTCTTGGCTTCAATCGTACACGTTGAGCATCATATGTTTAGCGACAACCTCATCAACACTTTGAGTTGCAGAAAACATCGTTTGTTAACGTTCGGGGTGCGGGGTACCTCCACTGCTGTCGCAGTTGTTCATCGACTATTCTGCGCGCTCTCTCCTCATTTTGTCTCATTCGTATTCTTCAGGAGGGCCACCACTGCTGACTTTTTTTTTGCTGATTCTCGACGCCCAACTCCCCGTGTAGACTATTCCTCAACGGATGGATGTCGTTTGGTACCTCCTCTACGACACCCCGTGGCCTCCAGAATACGAAGACATGGCGCTGGCCCCGGTTGAGGCTACACTCTGTAGGCGGGCATGTTCTGCCACGAACAAGGCAGAACAAAAAGTATTTTCTGCACCCCGGCACATTTACCCATTTGGTTCGCAGATAAACAAAATTGTTTCTGCGGGCGAGAGAGAAGGCAAACAGCACGGTTGGTTATCATGGTGTCACTACTTGTCGTCACGATGAACGAGAATATATACCTTCTTTATTGTAGAGCTACAGGCCTAACTACTAGACTACATGTAGCTGAAGGTCTGTGTCCAGCCTTCCTCGCAACTGCTTTTGGTCCCGCATGCTCTCGAGCCTACTCCTTCGTACATGGTACCTGGTATGATATCATTGAATCAATGCCTCATCTCATTGCTCAGCTCGGCGAAGCCGTGAAAATGATACCGTGGGATTCATAACGTCGTTCGTCCTGCGCTCCGTGCGAGCTGCCCATGCGTGTCTTGTCCGTATTAAACCAGGAATCACGCAGCAGCAGCTTTGGCTCTTGTGGTGCTTGTGTGTGCTTGCATCCGCATAGAACCCGCAGGCCCGATTCCCCCAAAACGAAAAGAGGCGTTGCGTCACGTCTGAAAACAGTCCCGTATGGTGTGCACAGGGGTGCACGGGCAGTGCACGGGTGTGGGTGTGCCGTTGTCGGCTGTAGGCACGTGCAAATATCGGCTCAGGCTGAGCACTGAGCACCTCATTCCCATCCAAGTGCCCCTCTCTTCTTTCTCCAGGATAGATCCCTTCCCAAGCTGACCCCTGGTTCGTAAACAACCACGTCTCCGAACGTCGTCCGCTTCGGTTGCGGCCTCTCGCCGGCCTGCTCCCGGGAGGCACTGAACAACGACGCACCTCACCATGCGTCTGCTGTGTTGGTCACCGTTGATGGTGTGCCACTTGCTACCGGCCCATGGCTTCGTGCGGCAGCGCTTCAGTACGAGAATAGGTCCCGAGGAACACCGCGCGGGGTACGGACGCCGTGGTGCCTCGACTGCCACATCGACTCGACCAACAACAATAATAGCTTGTGCGGCGTCGTCAGCAACAGCGGTGGACAGCAGTGCCGTCGAGGATGAAGACGTGCCATGCTCGTCGTTCCGTCACTGTAGCACAGTTTATATCGAGATGACCGACATGTGAGTGTGACTGCGTTCCCCGCTGTAAGTGGTCTCGCATCCATGTTCAGTGAAGGCTAAGTTGTGCTGTTGCGTACCACTGCCGTAACAGCCAACCGTGCTTCTTTCGCGGAAGCACTGGCTCTGGTAAATACTGCGAAGAAGATATTCGGAACACGTTGGACCTGCGGCTCGCACGTCGGTTGCTGTTCAGAGAAAACATGCATGCACAGCGTCCCCTCTTGTTGTGTCAGTTTCTCTCGAGGAAGGAGGTCGTGCATTTGCCTTCTTTCGTGACCTTGCTTATTTCTGCGGGTCCAACAGGAGTTGTTCTGTTCAGATATCTCCCTTACCACAAACATGGTTCACCACGAGAAGAAACAGAACGTGCGAAAATCAATTCTTGCATGTTGTCCGCATGTCTGTGTGTATTGATCCCGTCTAGTCTAGAAGCCAGACTACAGCAGTACACCGTTCGGTATATACATGTGGACGGACTGGCGGAGGTCGCTCGGGAGGAAGGCCACATATTCCACTCAAGGGAGTCTTCCTTCACCCCACCTTCCCCCCTGCGATATTGTTCTGGTGTACATCTCCCAAAACCCTTCTCACATATCTGCGCCGCGCAGGTATCGTATCGTGTACCACGCAAACTACGTTACCTACGCGCAGCGAGCAATCGAGCATGCGTTTGGCGCACCCGGTGTCCGCGTCCACAGCCTCCCCATCGTCAAGTACAGAGCGGCGGCCACTCTGGGCGAGGAGATAACCGTGCAGGGAACCCTCGTCTCGTGCGACGACAGCAGCAGCGGTGGCGGGCGCTCGCGCTGGCGCTTCGAGCTAGCCGCCGCTTCCGACCCCTCTCGGGTTTTCGTCACCGCAGAGGCCACCGTTTCCTGGCTGGGAGGGGCGGCTATGCCCCCGGGGGTGGCGGTAAGCAAACTGCCGAGGAGCGCGGAACCAACGATGACTGACGACACGGAGCTGCTGCAGCCGTTGCCCGAGGCGTTCACCGACTCGCCCAAGACTCTGAAGGTGGTGGTGTGGAGCGATGATTTGGATGGAGGGGGGAATCTCTCGATCCGTGCGGTGCTCAACTACTTCGAGCGGATACGCACGCTCAGCCTGGGGAGAGGTCAAGACGGCGAGCTTGGGCTGATGCGACTGCATCGAGAGGGAGTTTCCGTGGTGGTGAGATTTTTTTCTTTTCTCCTGTGTGCTCGGGTGATGTAGACTTGAGACTTTGTTTCGGAGTGAAACGAGTGCCATGTAAATAGCTTCTTTCGTGGACGCAAACAACCAGTGTCCACGAGCGGCGTTTGCAGCGCCGATACGTTTGTTCCAATGTACGGCCACAAGAGGAGGAGCCTCTTTGTGCTCTGTACGTCCTGCCCCTGATCCGAGGCATCTCTGGCCTACAGTCGGGACAATCGTGCAGAGATTATTGTCGTGTACAGTAGTGGATTGGCCAAAGAACTCTCGCTTAGCCAACGTTTTTGGGGGTTGTTTGTCGAAGAAAGGGAGCCGACTGTGATACAGATACAGGCAGCGCGGTAGAGGCCGCGAAGACGGTGGGCGAACCGTTGAAGAACTGCCAGCATGTAAGCTAACGAATGATGGCACGAAGCTGTTCACACTAAGGCTGGCTTTCCGGTGAAGGCCCACCGTTTCGGAGAATCTGGGGGTCTCTCAGAGAAACGTACCAGTAGTCTCTTTTTGTCAAGAACCGCCGACCCCCAATTCCTGTGTGCACTCACGTACGTGTCCAGGTAACAAGCATATCCGATCTCCGCGTGAACAGCGACGGCTTGGTTGCGGGAGAGACGCTGGATGTGCGTCTAGGAGCAAAGCTATCGAGGGGCAACAGGGTGATGACCATGTACGAATCTCTGTGGAGGGAGAATGGGACTCTCGTCGCGCACGCGGAGATCGCGCTGTTCTGCATGGACAACGAAACTCGCAAGTTTCGACCGGTTCCCGAGTGGGTGCAAGAAGCCATAATGCTGCCCTCTGCCGTCCTTTGAATGCGGAGCGGAGTGTCTGCCTCAATCCATGTTATTCTTGCAGATTTTCTACCAGAGGTACATGGTTACGTTATTCTGGCAGTTTTTCTACAAGTGCATGGTTCCCCCGGGGGTGTGTAGACGGTAGGTGCGATAGTGCCCTCTTCATGCCTGGGTGCCGCCGCAGCACCTAAGGCAGCTAGTGCCAAAAATGGTCAGAGTAGGAGTGCCCGGTCCGTGTGCGGTTGCATTGCGCGCAGGCACAAGCATAGCATACAGCCCTTCAATTGTCGGCGAACTACCACACGGAGACGGGAAATGTTTGCTGATGCGCTAAATCGTGGGTGCTTTGATGTCTCCTCAAGCGATACACTCCCGAAATCAACAGCGGTGCGGTGCTGCCTTCGACATTGCATTTGTCTGAAGCCGCGGCAGAGCTCTTACCCTATGATACTGCTGTCATAATGTCGAAGCTTGTGCAGCAATAAAAATCGGCAGCTTCCTCAACGAACATGGTGTAGAGAAGATGATGTGTGCTTCGTCACAACGATCAACTCTTACGTGGAGGATATGGACAGAGGAGGGGAGGTCAAGTGGCGGCTTGCGTCCTTGCTGTTCTGCTGCAGGTTTCCTGAAGGTGCAAACCCCGATGCAGACTGACCAACACTCGACCACACGATCCTTGAAAACAAGAGATGATTCTCCCAACCCGTGGACCCGCGCATTCCCCAAACCCAGTTCAGAAAACCTGTCAACCACGTTAACCTTTCCTAGCATTGTTCCAGCGAGGGTCTCCGAATCTTACCCCTATCGTTCGGTGTTACGCACTGCTGTGGTGCTTGGCAGGCTTCAGCTTCCCACCGCCTGGTTGTCCTTGGGGTACTATTCCATAGAGAACTTTTACATGTCGCCGTCGAAGTACGACGGTTCATCCTCAAAGTCCCACAGACCACCCTGATGCTCTGGGGGCACCGGCTCAATAATTGGAGCGTTGTACAGAGAGGGGACGGGTGGCTCCACGATCAGTTCGCGTATCTTGCCCATGCCCCCAGCAACAACAACGAAACCCCCGCTCTCCCCCTTGGCCTTTCCTTCTCCTCCGCCACCCCCACTGTGGCCCTTCTTGAACGCTTGGCTGCGCATGTACGTGGGGGCCGTTGGCGAACACAAAAAATATCATTTTCCGAGAGAGAGAAACGGCACCCGAGCGACGGATTGGTTGACGACGGAAAAACGCCCAGGAATGTGAAGAAGTCTGCAGACCCCGTACCACGCCCGATTATCCTCGCAACAGCATGAATGAAACGTTGGACTGCGGTTGTGGCACACAAGCTAGATATTTCCTTTCTTCGATTGGGACGTTTCCGTTTAGGATTCCGTTCTGAACTTGTGGAGATAAGTGCCCGTGGAAACTAGCCCCGGTGGTTCAGTGGGGGGGAGCGGGAGGAGGCAGTGCCTTCCCGGCAAAAGGCCCTCGAGAACTATTTACTCACTTTGGAGATTTTACCACTTTCCGGCACGTGCGTGGGGTAGAACACCGTTGACATGCAATGGCTTACGTTCAAACCCTGCGAGGGCAACAACTCCGCCAAAGCGTCGGTCGGACGACAAACATCAGGCCCGCTCTGCCTCCTCGCACCTGTTCTTCCACTCCTCGAAATCCATCTGATGGGCCCAACTAGTGTGAGAAACGAACTCCGTATAACCGGGTCTGGCCGCGGGCGCTCCCTCTTCCTCCTCGTTCTTCTCTACCTCTCTGGTGTCTAGCCTTAGCAGCATGAACTGCTCGAAGCCCGAAAAGCTGGCCAGCTTGCTCTCTCGCTCCCTGTAGAGAGAGGCGCGACGGAAAGGGTCAAGGCCTCTTGCCGCCCGCGGTCGTTGCACGCATGGGACTCAGGACAACTAGGCAAACGATAGGCCGTCATCTCGAACGGCTATCCCAACCACAGTGCAGAGCTAGCTGCAACGCAAGCACACCAAGGTGCTGGTGGCAGCGACCTCGCCTTCTCACCGCCACAGGAATATTCCAAACAGAGGCGACCGTATCTCATACATAAGGCACGCCCTATTGGAAGCGTTTTGCACTAGAGAACACCGCGATGGATCCCTCTTGACAAGACTACCTCTCTCCGGAGTTGCTAAATCTAGAACTACATGACGTAGCAATCCGGAAAGAGACCAAACCCCGAAATATGTTCGCCACGAAATCTGAAATATGTACGCCACGAGAAACTCACCTCCACATGGTTTCAAACTCCTCCTCACAGCCAAGCTTGACCTTGAACCTGGAGTGGACATCCAAGCGGAGGCCGTGGCGTGCAGGGGTCAATGTGGCATCATCACTCATACCAATGATCAACCATACATGGCGAAAAAGGCGTTCATATGGCCTTGAGGAGCGGGAAAGGAGAGGCCCTGGATGGAGAACGGAGAGATTGTCATCGAGGGACAACGCAAGCGTAACAGCTACCATCACCGACATGTAGCTATAGCGGAATGGGTGTAGTTGAAGCGCCAATAGTTTTATACGCACGCGTATATCTGAACTAGCAATGCGCAGTTCACCAGTTAACTACGGGCACTGCTGTGTCACTGCGGTGGGCCCTCTCAGCTGCGTGTCAAGCGCTTCACACACCGACTGCTCTAGCAAACTACGCGTGTGTTCCGCACTGCAGCGGTGCCAGCAGCTTCCCGGAACGTTGTCCAAACCTCCGCGTACAAGACGTTGTTGTGACATTTGAAACATGGGTTATAATATAGGCGCTGTCACACGAAGCGGGACCTCACATTATGCCTAACCAGTGAATGTGGAAGGCGATTTATTTGTGAGCGCAACGTTCTGGCTTCAAGCTCGAGGAGGAAAGGAACGCCACCACAGCAGTAGTCGTTCTAAAAATTAAGCCAAGCACCGCAGAGGGAAGTTGGAGAACACTAAACCCTGAGTGCCCTTCCTCCTGTATGACCCCGGCTGGTGCAAAGGTGCAAAAACCCACGTCTAGAATACATGGGATGGCACACACACTGTACAAACCGTTTGTTGGCGGTTCGAGTTAATCGGCCAATCTGGGTGATGTCTCAGTAAGTATGCGACCCTCTTTGAGGGCGTAGAGCTTGGATTGGTGCACGTTTCATGGCTCCCTTTGCCTCTCCCGTTCATGCGATCCCACGGGCCGTGGGCTGGTGTAGTGCCATACCTCATCCATCCCCCCGTAGCCCTACGGAATTGGCCTTCGATAGGGTGGCCTATAATAGTTGACAAGAAGCTTTTGACATTTCAGGATTGAATCCATCAGGGGCTTGCAACGTTAGGATAAGTGCCAAAAGGTGGGAGCTGTGCCCCGGCATTCCCACGATTCACGAATGCAACCTCGAGGCACTCACACCAAGGGGGGGGGGGGGGGGGGGGGGGGGGGCCCTCGCCATGAAAAACCCCCAAAACCACACGGAAACCAACGGTGGGACCCCCAACAACCGGCCCGAAAAACCTGGGGGGGGCCGGGGAGGGGAATTCAAAAATGGCGTTTGGGTGGAGTCCCCGGCCCCCCAAAGGGTGCCCCCCGCTCCCAAAACACACGTGGTGCCCCCCATAGGAAATTTGAAAAAAACCCGGGCAAAACATCCCCCCCCTGGGTTTCGCGGGGGCAATTTTTTTTCTCCCCCCCCCCGAATGGAGCTGGCTGAACCCCGTTTTTTTT